TCAAACTATCCAAGCAATTTAGTTAGAATTTTTATTAAGCAATTATTATTTAGCTGAATAGTTTTAATTAAACACAAATGTTAGATTATATGTAAGATATAAATATAAAAAATTTATAAACTTATTTTGTACTTTAAATAGTTCGTAGTTAAAGGGTACAAAAACTTGTAAATTTTATAATAAAAGAAATCGCAAATTAATAAATTACAGTTGAAGTGCTCATGATAGAAGATCACGAGATGATTTTTCTTATATAAAATCACATTATTTCGCGGACCTACGGGTCCATGGACCGTAGTTCTAACTTCGTTAAGACAACATTGATATTTTTTAATAATTTTACATCACAAAATTACGCGATTTGCTTCGTTCAGGTATTGTTTAGAAGAACCAATGTATCTCTTAACTAGAGTGTCCAGAATTCTGCGGTACATAATTCTGCTCGCTCTAAAAATATCTTTTTGTATTGTCTCCGTAAGATAAGGCGAGACCAACTGGATTCTGTGTTCTACATTACCCCCTTCTCCCCTCCAGAAGAGGGGGGGAGAATTTGTTGTTTATATAGTAAAATTTTTAAAAATTTTTTTTCAAAAAAATTTTTCCGAATTGTTCCGTGAGAGAGAGGGAATGCGGGGAACGCTGGGGTGATTGATCGACTAATTGTAACAAATATCGATAAAGACCCATAGCGATAGTAAAAACAATTAATGATAAACTCTTAATGAAAAGTGATATTCATCTGTGTAACAATACGATCATATTACTGTAAAAAAATTGAACTTAAAATAATATAAAACCAAAAAGTGCGCTTTTTAACTTGTGAGGATTTTTATATTAGTAATTAAAATTTTAATTTTTTTATATATATTTATATAATCTAAAAGAGCCAATTTGTAAATAACTCGCTTAATAACTTAAATATTAAAAATTTGACATGAGAGTTTAAGAAATACATTGCAAATTTTCAAATATATCAGTGCAACACTAATAACCAGCAAAAACACACGTATATACACATTATTTGATTGGTTCAGGCCTTCACTGTCACCATTAAAACAGTAGAATACGGGTGACTAGATTATTTAAACAATACATGATAAATCAGCCAATTGTATTATTTAAAAAAATTCACTATACAAATCTACTATGGGTCTACAAATAGGTTTGATTTAATTAGCCGACCAAACACCCCAGGGGAACGCCAAGGAGGGGGGTGGGGTAATGTAAAACACAGAATCCAGTTGGTCTCGCCTAAACGTGACTTTAATCGTTTTTTAAACCCAAATACAATACAAAAAAATATTTTTAGAGTGCATAATTCTGCTCGCTCTAAAAAAATACCGTTTTGTATTGTCTCCATAAGATAAACGTGACTTTAATCTTTTTTTAAAACCAAATACAATACAAAAAAAATATTTAGAACGAGCAGAATTATCACCCAGAATTCTGGACACTCTATTTTAGAGTGAGCAGGATTATGCACCGCAGAATTCTGGACACTCTACTCTTAACATTTAAAATTAATTTATGCTAGCAAATCCACACAGGGCTTACGATTTAAGCTAATAAATGTTTCCGAATGGATATTAAATTATCAGATAAAATTATCTAGCGGTTACTCTTTGATAAAATTTTTATAGCACATACAATACATAAATATTGGGTAACAATTAAGTTTAATTGATCTTATTGGCGTAATTTAAAAAAAAATTTTTGAAAGTTTAAAATTTAGGCTTTAGAATTACATATTAAAAAAAGTAATATATTGCTAAATTGACTAAACCATATTTTGGTATTTAGTTTTTTTTTCAAATAACATTATTTTACATTGAATTGCCCTAATTTTAGCTGCAGGGTTGTATTGTAAAGTATATTGCATATTTACCTCATCGATTAAAAAAACAAAATTCTTATTTCCTCACTAATTCATAAATAGTTCTTTGGTATTTTGAGGCCGAATATCCAAAGAATAGCCTTTTTCGCAAAGATAAATTTTTGATAGGTAGTTTACTGTTATACAATACGATGAATTTAACTTAACATCCCTTAAGTCAAGATATTTGCAAGCTGTATAGCTCGTGTTTTTAGTACATCTTCCAGTATGCCATTAATTTATATAACGTAAGAAATTGAAGTTTTTGTAAAAAATTACCAATAAACTCTAGGAGCCGTGTAACAAAATTTATGATTCTTCTCAGGAGCTGTTCTGATATCTATTTGCTTGTGTTCAACGAATCTTTCCACCAGAGAATACATGCTTCATGAATGTTCGTTAATAACTTTATGGATTATAGCTGCAGCTATTAGATAAGTTCTGCTTTTTACTCCCTACTGATACTGTTGGGATCTAAAAAAATTGATCGCTGCTAAATGTTATATTTTTTTGCGATTTAATTTTTCATCATATTCTTGGATTTTTTCTTTTAAGAGAAATAATTGCTGAATGGTTTTGTGCAAAGAAAATCAAAAAAAGCGTAGTAATCGTTATAAATCGAAGTTGAAAGTATGCCATAAGGCATTCACTTATTACCAAAAATCAACATAAAAGTCATCACGACTAATGATTTTTTCTGGATCGCAAACACATTTTATTACTATTTCATTTAAAAAGTTCGTCATCAACAAGATCATCAGTGTATTAAATTAATTTTTCATTATTTTACATATTAATATTAAATAAATTATTTAATAGTAAGTTTTTGAATTTTATATTAAATTTTTTAATAGTAAGTTTTTGAATTTTATATTAAATTTTTTAATTGATTGTAAATTAATCAATTATTGAGCTTAGTGATGGGACCTAAAAATTAAATTTTACTTCTTCTTTAAAAATTATTAAACATAATGAATTCTAATAGTTTCATTCGATTGAAGAATCTGGCATTTTCCAAGAATTTCCAGAACTAAAAAATAGAGTGTCCAGAATTCTGTGGTGCATAACTCTGCTTGCTCTAAAAATATCTTTTTGTATTGTCTCCGTAAGATAAACGTGACTTTGATCATTTTTTAAAACCAAATACAATTAAAAAAATATTTTTAGAGCGAGCAGAATTATGCAACGTAGAATTCTGGACACTCTACTAAAAAATAAAGCAATTCCTATAATTATAAATTTTGATGAAATGAATCTAACTACCTATTGAAAAGTTTACTAAAATTTAAACAAATCAATTCATTAAATCAAATAATACCAAAAAAACATAGTGTTTGTATCAAATTAATAATAAATTACTAAAGAAGATATTAACAAATTTAAAATATCAATTGATTATAAATATCTAATAGCGTAAATTTAATAAAATCCTAAATTAAATATATTGGTGTATTATTTATAATATGGTCAATTTTTGAACAAGAATTTGAAATAAATATATAGCTAGCGACAAGCAAAAGATTAAAACTAGAATAAATACCTTGCAATTTATCTTATGCGAGCAAGCATTTAATATTAAAGCACATTGGAATTAATTCAATCTAATAGATTTACTCCCAACTAACTCTATATTTTAACAATACTTTTAAAATTATTAATAAATATAAATTTTGTTTTTTTGAAATAATAAATATAATGATAATGAATTCCAATAATTTTATTTCGATTGAAGAATCTGATGTTTTCCCAATTAAATGTAAAAATGGAATATCAGTTTTTATCCCTCCAGGTTACTCCCCAATTCTTATTAGTAAAGAAGCCACGGAAAATTTGAAAACAATCAAGGAATTTCCAGAATTAAATATACGTGTTCCAGCATTGATCTATAATCCTGTTAAGCGTCCACAAAACTCTTTTTTATTATTCAGAAATGAAATAAAAGATGAAATAATTAAAGATAATCCAAATATAGACACTCGTCAAATTTCAAAAATCGCAGGGAATAAATGGAAAAAACTATCAGAATATGAAAAATCGCGATATAAGCTACAGTCCGAAAGACTAAGAATGCAATTCAAATCCAAAAACTTAAAATGCAAATATAAAACAAGAAAACAACATTTACTTAAAAGTCTTTCAGTGCTCTTTCAATCAATTATTTAGAGTAAACAACAATATCGTATCTCGGATTAAAAAGGTCCATTTTGCAAACAATTTTCTTAATATTGAATGTTTATCTTCACAAAAATAAAATAAAATAAATTTTTTACAAAATTGTCATTTAATATGAGGCCCTCCAAATTTTCATAAACTTTATTTGTAAAGCGTCCATAAATTATCTTTAACCGGATATGACTCTATTTCAGTTATAATGTAAGAAAATAATGATTAATTTTATTCTAATTCTCTTTAAGTTATATAGAATAGAATTTTAATTAAACCATGCAAAATTAATTAATAACCCGGCCGGGTCAAAATTTGAAAAAAAATTCTTATATGTTTTACAGTTGTTTTCATTAATTTTGGACATCTGATAAAAAATTGACCGAATGATTGTTTGGCCGATTCGATAAGTTTTTGATTTCGGTAATGAGCGATTATGTAATGTGCATATCTTTCTAATGACATTGATAAATATATCGATATCACTATTTTTGCGCTTCAGATTATATTAGATTTAGTTGCTATTACTTCAGACAAGTTGGATATTTTAGTTTCAATAGCAATTACGAAGCGTTGAAATATTTATCATTATTTAAACATGACGTATTTAACTATTGAGATTCATAAAACAAAATAAGATTTAGTATAAAATGATTCGAGTCATTTTCATATGATAAAAATGTTGATATTAGTCATTATATTACCCAAATTCGCACAAGACTAAACATGACAAAATGTTGAGTTTCTTTGATTAAAAATTTAAAAATGTTGATATAATGTATCTTTATAGTTGATCACATTAGTCAAAAAAATTAAATACGTCAGTGTCAAAATTATTAATAATGAAAAAATTAGCCAAAATTAAAATACGTCAGTCAAAAAATCATTATTAATAAATACGTTACTGTAGATCTAAAATATGATTTAAAACTTTTTTTCTCTATCAAAAAATTCTCAAGTTACAATGGTTGAAAAAGAAATTATCGATATTTCGATTAAATTGTTTTGGAATGTAAATGATTCATCAGCAACTTTCGTTGGACCTTTAGAATTTACAACTGTTTTAAACCATGGTTTTACAACAATCAAGGATCTGGATGAACCAGACACAATTTTATTAAATGGAAATAGCTACAAAAAGATAGCAGATAGCGATATTCACGATTTTATATCCCCTATTAATAATGTTTCCTTGGAAGAGGTAATAACGTTGATTCAAAATATGTTACTATTCTGATTTCATAAATATTCAAAAAATGTTCTAGGTACATGAAGAAGGATTAATGCACGATGATTTACAAGAGCCACTTGATGTTTTTCCCGACCAATCTAACGAACAAGATAATCAGGTAAAAAAAACTATTTATTTAATACTCGAATTTTGCAAGTAATTTAACCCAATAATAATAATATAATAAAGGAAAATGAAGAAGAATTAATTCTCGATGATTCGATATCATCACAAGAGCCTCAAAATAATCAGGTAAATTTTATTTATTTAATAATCGAATTTTGCAAATAACGGGTTTAAACTAATAATAATAAATACTGTAATAAAGAAAAATGAAAATGAATTAATACTCGATCATTCAGTATTACTGCAAGAATCTGTTGGTTTTCCAGACCAATCTGGAGAACAAATTGATTCTCAAGATAATCAGGTAAAAATTTATTTATTTAATACTCGAATTTTGCAAATAACGGGTTTAACCTTTTTTCCTTGTTAATTTAAAGCGTACATACGATGGAATGGCAAATGCTCCGAGTAACCAATATCCTATCGTTTTAATTCCGAGTGTCAATGTGGTAAGAATTTTCTAATATTTAAACCTCAATTATCACCAAGTACATTATAAAATTAACAAATTTTAAAAAAAAAGGAATTATTAAATTTGAAACTTCAGCGAAGTCCATCACAAATTGATGATTCCGAGGATGAGATTGATGATAATAGTGAATCATCGAAAGTTAATGAGCAATCATCTGAAATTCAAGAAGACGACGATCACCAGGTATAAATTCGCCTTTTCAAAAGCTTAACATTTGAACATTCCTAACTTGGCACGAAATTCAAGGAACAGTCAGACGACTCACTACCCCCAGAAAAGAACAGCAAATCTTTGCGCGTTAATAAACGGGTAAAAAATTTTGATTAAGTTTATAAAAATTATTTTTTATGTTTACAAGAAATTGTTTTTAAAGAAATCAAAAAAGAGAAAGCGTAAGGTCTCGTTAAATATTTCACGTAAAAAAAAAGAAAAAACACAAATACAACACGCATTTTCATCCGAAACTGATTCCGATGGTACGTGAACCGTCATTTTTTCAAATTCAACATAGTTAAAAATTATAATTAATATATTTTCATTGATAACTGTAAGAAGACGAATCAATGTCATCGGATGCTGCAATTGAAGAATTGCAAATAAGTAGTAAGTTATCACAAAGATAATTATCCAAAAGTTTAAGTAAAGTTAATGCTTTTAAATAAATTCCACAGGCACCACGAATGAAATTGAAAAAAATAAGGCACACCTCTTAAAGGATAACTTTGAAATTGTCCAAAGAAATCAATTTATAGTGTATGGTGATAAACTTTTTTCAAAGAATAGATCAATAGAAGATCTTCTGATCCCGAATTTTAATCACCTTTTTAATGATATCAATGTGATTAATTTTTCCCTTCAACCATTACCTTCTTACTCAACCAATATGGAATCATTGGATAACTATTTCAAAGAATGGAAAGTACAATATAATCAACTTAAGTATACAAAGACAGAAGTCGAAGAGAAAATGTTAAAATTATTGTATGAACTTAGGGGTGCATACTTAACATTGCTCATAATACTATCAAAAGAGTATGAGCGAGATAAGAAAAAGCTTCCAGGTCACAAGATCTTACGTGGTTTAGTGAAGGGAAAAGTCAAATCAATTTTAAGAATTGGCGAAAGGCATGAGCAGAGATATTGGGTAGGAACATGGAGGCTTATAGAATTACTCAATATAACACATTGCCCTGCATCTATTCTTGTAGAGTCAGGTCTCACTGCAAGATATTTAATGAGGGATGCAAATTATAATCAGTTTCTTAAAAGTCTCCTAAATAATGTTGAGGTCAATCATGAAGCTCCCAGGTTTAGCAAATCTTTGATGTTAAGGTTGGGGTTATTAATTACAATCATGTTTGGCCAGACATGCCTATAAGCACTAATATAATTTATATTTTTTAATTAAAGAATTAAAGAAAAGGAACCTAAATTTTATTAAATTAATATTTGGAGATAAATCACAAATCATTATATATTTTTTTTTGAGGTGTAGAATTGTGAATGAAAAATAGGCGGCGGGTAACAATGTATTCTGAAATCCGGTTGTGTTATTTAATGTTTGAAATAAAAGCTACATTTTTCTGCTTTCTTTTCTAATTCTTTAACTTTCCTTAATAATTTCTCTATCACAAAATGTCCGATTATGTAAATTCATCCAATCCGATCCCTTCTAACATCTTCCTTACAGCTCCAAATCCTGATATTACCCGCAGTGAAAAAAACAAAATCGAATCGCAAGTACTATGAGAAGCAACAATACCTAATATCTTTCGTTAATATTTAAAATTAATCTGAATCTTTTCTTTAACAAAACTGGGTTTTTTAGTTTACAGTGTTACAAGTAATGATAGTTATGGCTGCAGACAATATAAATTTCTTTACTTTTTTTGTATTGTATTGGTTTAAAAAGATAATTTTAGTATTTTAGACAATTAAAGCTGTCGTAAAATTCTGTTTTTAGAAAGAGTAGTATTTTTTTTAAAGTAAACAATCGAAAATTTTTCATTTCCTAAATTTATAAACTTACCAGTACCAAATAAACAAACTGACATGAATAGATGTCTAACCTAAATATAAATAATAATTTATCCGAACAAAAAATGCTGGTAGTAAATTTTCTTTACCCTTTGTTCAATTTTTATCTAAGAAAAAGTTAAACTTATATACTAAATTAATTAAAATATCGATTCACTTTTTTTAAAAAAATGACAACCAATATTAAAACTCTTTACGAAACTTTAGAAACTCTTTTTATCCACGATGAAGAGGATTTTTTCTCAAATTATGGAGCTGATTATTCAGTCCCTGAATCTTTTTCTCAAATGTTTGGCTTTGCTTTTTCCGAAGAAGATATCAATAAAGCAATTGAACAACTTAAAAATAAAAAGGCAACATTTAATGGAAATAGCGAAATTACCTCCAATGAAAATGAAAGGAAATTGTCATGTTCATATACTATGTTAACCGATATTTTTTTATTATTATGGAAAGTTAGAGTGTGTATTTGTCTAATATATCTTATTTCATGAATTCTTTTAATTATATATTTACTTTCCTAGCAAAATTCCTCCCAAAAATATGGGATGTTCAACAAGATATCTTTTAAATATTTGTTCCTTGCATTTTAGCTTTTGATTAATTGATGATTTCTAATTAATGCACAGAATTAAAAAATCAATTTTAATTTTCGTAGTAATGGATTAATTTTTAATTTTTAATTTTTACCTTGCTTATTGCATAACAGATGATAATAATAATCTTAGAAAGGATTCTAGTATCAATATTAAAATTAATTCACGTAATATAATAATAATATTAAATATCTGAATAAGGATTTAATTCTTATGCTGAAATTTTTAAGATAATTACTAAGAATTCTTTTATTCTTTTATTATCAATATTATTGAATTAATTATTTTCAGTTTGATTACTGTAACCTTGGTACAAGTTTGAACTTTTATTTAATTTGAAGCATGCTATCCTGATGTAGCTTTTTTTTTGACTATTAATCGAGATATGAGCTGTGAAAGTTAAGGTATTGATTTTTTAAAATGTTAACCTTATTTCTATTAACGGCAGCCCAAATATAATTATTTTTATTCGTAATTCTGGTAAATATTATTCTAGCAAAATTCAAAATAATATATCTTTTTAGAGATGGGAAAAATGCGCATTTTATAATAACATGCGCATGAATGCGTATTAATGCGCACGTTATATAAAGCATGATATCGCATGATATTATTTTTGGAATTTATATTTTCCCTTCGAAAAATATTGGATACGTGCTCAAATTTTAACCCCAATCTTGCTCTTCTTTTATGTTCATTAATTTTCTTTTCAAAATTTTCAAGACTTTTTACATCCCTATTCTCTAATTCCGCCTGACAATGCGCTCCCTTGCCTAAATTATATATGCTTTAAATTTCCTATATAAAATTTAGATGGGATAAAATGCGCATGATTCCGAAACATGCGCATGAATGCGCATTAATGCGCACGATTAAGGATTCATGCGCACGCATGAAACCCATCTCTAATTGTAAATATGAATTGAATTGTTATTTTTATGAATTTTGAAGAATTACTACCGAATTTTATTCGTAATTGAATTTCTTATGTAAATCATTTAATTCGAAACTAACAAATTTTACTTTATTACTATAACGCTCCAAAATACAGCTGTATGGGTTAAATTTGAGTATTATGTTCGTAGGCAATTGATTAAAATTCAAATTGATATGACAATATGACAATATAATGGTGTGAATTAAAAAATATTTATGTAACTATCAGAATAAATTTTTAATAACGCTTTTATTGAATTAGAAAGATTCTAAATTTTATGACATCTGAAAGCAGATGGAATCGTAACATTATGATATAAATTGTACTCTAATATATTTAGTTAACTGATAAAAAGCTTATAAATTGCAATAAATAATGAAATCCAACACCAATATTTATAAAACAAATAATAATTTAGATTAAATTTATTCCTCTCTAGTCTTTTTTCTAGCTGGTTTATCTTTTCTGTCAAAACCTTTTCTTTAATATCATCACACATCCTATTGTAGGTTGTGGTAATGACTTTTCCACCTGACCTAATAGTTGCCCTAATCACCCCAGGTTGAATTCTATGTGCCTCTGCTGCGACCAAGATCCCAAAATTAAACTCTTTCACAACAGTAACTTCAACTTCATTAACATGTTCTCTTTCTTATAATTATGATAAAAATTAGTAAGTAATTTAATCAAAATTATAGACAAAGATACATACTTATATAACTATTAAAATAAGCCTTGCATTGGATAACCATTTTATAACCGCTCATCTCTATAATTATATCTCGACCATCATCTCCAGAACCACTAAATTGACAATATTATATAAGCTTTGTTTCATAGAAGTATAAAACTAAAAAAATAGCACGTATTCTCTTCACCAGGCTAATCACCGAGAAAGACACCGGTGAAGTCAAACAACCAAGAAGAACGTTCTATGCCGAAACATAGGCCACGACGAGCTTTCAATTCTTGGATATTTTACGATGACCTGGCAGCGTAACTTCAAATACGTAACAACTCAACAAAGCTAGTGAGAAAATACTCACCCTGTCCACTTAATTCTAGCGCCCCAAGGTAAGAATTCATTTTTCAACAAATCAACACAAAATAGTTCAAATCTTTTTCCTAAAGATTTATTTGACTC